ACCACTTTTACTTTATTCTTCAAAATCAACTTAACTCTATGCATGTTCTATCACTAGGGATACAATACTCTAAAAATTTGCTTCCTTTTCATTGCGAGTCAAAAATTGAATATCCTAATAGAATGAAATTGCATGTGAAATATTGTAATGATAGAACAACTAAATAAAAACAGTCCCTAAATCAACAAGCAGAAAAACAAAAGATATGTAAAAAGTTTTAAAACTTTCTTGTTAATTATAATTATTATTTTGGCCACCATAATAAAACTTTATTGATAACTAAAACTTCACTTATAAGTTACAAAAATTGAAAAAGAAATACAAAACAATTAAATAAAAATAGTCCCTAAACCAACAACTAGAGAAAATACTTACTTGCTCAAAAACACTCCAATTTCTCTCATAACTAGTAGCACTACAAGTTAAACTCAAAATTCGAATGGCCAAGCTCATCAACTCTGGAGTTTCCATTCCAAAAGAACTCCACCATTGAGCTTCAAGACATAAGCAAGACAAGCAAATCATCATTATGAGAAGGATTAATTCACAAATAATACATAAATTTCTTTTAAAAAAAACAAGAACTGACAAATCAAAATTAGAAAAAAAAAAAAAATCAATACCCAACTTTCTACATTTTGCTTACCAGGTGCTCTTTTGCTCTTAGATTGTACTGCCATGGGATCAGCAACATCCCCTCAGTTTCTTTGTACAAGTGCAATTGATCTATGATTTGGTCTTGATCATCATGATTTAGAATTAACTTTTCAATACAATCATATAACCCCCTCACAATCTCTTTATTTGTTGCAATGCTTGGGTCATTATAAAAGAATTGAGGGTTCAAAAAGTGACCAGCAGCATGCAAATGATGATGAAGCTAATTTTCCCATCTCTTATCTATAAGAGAAAATACATTCTTATACTTTTCTTCATTCCCATCAAAGGCCTTTTGAATGGCTCCTTTAGCCTTATCCATTGCTTCATAGAAAAAAACCCATTGCTGGCTTTTTTTCATTATCAACTAGGCAAAGAACACCCACTAAATGACCCATAACTTTAAGGGCATACACAATCTCATTCCAAAAAGAAGGCATCAAGATAACATCAGTAGCCCTTTTACCCTTAGCTTCTTTGTAAAACTTGCTTTTCATCCACTCATCTGATGTGAACGTCTTCCTAAGGTTAATCTTTTGCTTGTGAACCCTTTCCAAAGTAAGATAAGTTGTAGCAAACCTAGTGACCCCATACTTAACCAATTCTTTCTTTTTTGTGAAAGTTCTAATCAAACTTAAGGCAGAGGTGTGGCTGTATATAAACCCAAATAGAAAAATGGCTCTCTCTAATGTTCTTTTTAAATTTCGCAGCTTTTCAATATCCTCTAAAATGAGATCCACACAATGTGCTGCACATGGAGTCCAAAACAAATTCTTTCTCTTAGCTTGTAGCAATTTACCTGCCAAGACATAATTGCTACCATTGTCAGTGACCACTTGAATGACATTTTTCTCTCCAATCCTCTCCAAAAAAGCATCAAGTAACTCATACAATCTATCTCCTGTTGTCATGTAAGAAGATGCATCAACAGATTCTACAAACATTATGCTTGCTAAACAGTTCACCAAGAAGTTAATTCTACTTCTTTGTCTTCTATTTGTCCAAGCATTAGACATAATTGAGCAACCATACCTTGCCCATTTCTTCTTGTGATCCTCTAGCATATCATTTGTAAGCAACAATTTATTTTTCAACAATGGAACCCACAACTCATGAAAGCTAGGAGGCTTTAAATTTGGACCATACCTCCCAATAGCTTCTACCATATATTTGTAGCTATCTAAACATGCTGCATTAAATGGGATCCCAGCTTGATAAAAAAATCTTGCTATATACTGGATTGTCCTAGCTTTTGCTTCTAGATGACTATCCTTTATACTCATTTGCCTCATTTTGCTTTCTTTTCTTCTTTGAACTATAGTTTTTGGTTTCATCAAATACAAATCCATCAGGCCTTTGGTTTTCTTCCCACTACCTTACATTCCAGCCCCAGATTTCGCAGTCAACAACTACTTACCACTTGCATTAAACTCAACTAACTCAACCTCAGCCAAATCATCATCACCAATTTTACAATCTTCTAAATAATTAAACATCTAAAAAAAACCTAAGGAGCCAGTGGATTTTTTAGACTTCTTCTCATTGTAATAACTCCACAGCTTTTTCTTAACCTCTTATGGGACTTTTGGACAAACTGTAGCATTACCCAAACACCCCATCTAATGTTGCTTTGCTTGATTGATTCCCCCAGTAGTTGTTTTATTACAAAAATTACAAGTAACATAATTGGGTTTATGAGGATCCTTCAAAGAATTATATTTCCAACCAGGATCTTTCTTATTACTGGACCTAGATGAAGTTGTTTCCACTTGCAAAGGGAAACAGAGCAAAAAAAGAAGAAAAAAGGAAAGAACGTTGGAACTTGGAAGGAATGAGAGAATCAAACTTGAAGAAAGCAAAAAAGAAGAGAAGAAAATGTGGATCTTTCTTGTCACAGACTTGATCTTGAAGAAAGATGCCTAATCTTGAAGGAAGAAGAAGCAGCAACAGTGTCGGGTGACTGAATCACGATTCAGATCCAATTTTAGGTGTTTTAAGGTTTTATTTAGGGAAAAAAATGTTAAAGTACCATTTTACCCTTAAATTTTAAGGTTAAATTGGATAATTTTGTCAAATTAAACCAAAAAAAAAA